AGTCCAACTAGAGGGTCTGGAGCTGACCAGCGCCTGGGGAAAGGAGGGACCTCGATGGGTTACTTTGAACGAGCTCCCAGGGGTCACCCCAGGGGAACGAGACGCTCTCTCCCGCTCGGTGACCCACACTCGCCTGCCCTTCCGTGCGTCCTCTCTCTGGCCGGGGGCTCACGCAGCCATGTGGGTCCAGCAGCTGCGGGGGCCAGACGGCCCAGGGTCCGCAGGACTCAGCTTTAATATGAAACCGACGCTCCGGACCCCGGCCTTTGGTTTGGCCTCGCCGAGGGCACGGTTGGACCTTTTCCGTGGCAGATGGAGGGACAAGGGGCCCTGGACAGGGACCGATTTCTACCTGAATAAGTCTCGCCGCACCACGGTCCCCGGGCGTGGGTCCGTGCGAGGCTTCTCTCACGGTCCCTTGGAGGAGCCGTTTCCACCGGCAACATGAGCAGGCAGATGGACGGCAGGTCTGTAAAGGACCTCGCGACGAAACCCCTAGGAAGGTCAGGTTCAGGGGGACGGAGGGGACACGTGACACCCCCTGTGTGTGGCTCGAGCATCACCTTTGTGACGAAAACTCTCAGAAGGTAAAAAAATGTACACCACTTGGGAGACAGTTGAAGACCGTGATATTTTGAAAATTTTTTTCTTTCAGTTTAATAATGAACTACTGACCATGTATTTTTTTATTCAGCAAATGCTGTTAAGCATCTACTATGAACCAAATGTGTTATAAGCGTCTAAAGTTCATCGGTTTGAAAACGAAGATCTCTGATCTCCCCGAGCTCACAGTCTGGGGTGCGGGGGGAGACAGGTGAGGAGTAATAACCACCGGGAAGAGGCGAACTGCAGAGAAATCGGGAGGACCGGTGTGAGAGCAACGGCAGTGGACAGAGGCCCGGCCGCGCTGCCCAGTGGGGGCAGGACTGACGGAAAGGAACCCAACAAAGCCGCGAGGACGGAAGGCGATCGTCACCCCTGGGAAGGCCAGCCCGCGAGCTGGCGTGCGGGGGCGGGGGACACGCCGAGGTCCTGGGCATTTGAGAGGCTGCAAGGAGACTGCGAGGGAGCCGCCTGAGAGGCCGGGGCGGCCGAGGAAAGGCCAGGAGGAGCGAGACAAGGCTGCGGGAGCCATCGGAGGCAGGAGACCCCGCAGGCCCCGCACACGCTGGGCCTCTCTGAGCGGGGCTGGGAGTGGGCAGGGCGCCCAGCGGAGACGGGTCGACCCAGGTGCGGAGCTGCCTGCTGTGTCCGGGAGGCCCACGTGGCAGGTCCCCGCAGTCGGGCCGTGGGTCCTCCCCTGGTCACCACCCCCCACGTCCATGTCCCACCCTCCTCTGAGGAGGCCCAGCCAGTCCATCCGAATGACCTGATTGACTTCCATCTCCTCTTCAAAGACCCCCCTCCAGTGCGTCAGGTTCTGAGGTGTGGGGGGCAGGGGGGCTCCAACAGAAGACTGTGGGGGGCCCAGCTCAGCCCGTGGCGCGCTGCCTGGTTACAGCGTCACGTGGTTCTCGACTACAGTTCGATCACCGACGCTGGATAAAGCGATGTGTGTGTGTGTGTGTGTGTGTGTGTGTGTGAGTTGAGTAAGTGGAGGCCAAAATCTCCCACACTGAGCTTCAGGGGCCCCCCTCTCCGCACACACCCACCGCACTCCACCCCCCGCCCCAGGTCCTTGCACACCCACTCCCAAGTGTCTCCGTTCTAAGCGATGCTCAACCGACACCCTGTGGACTCGCCCTGGACTGTCCCCCGGTTGCTTCGTCAGGGTACATTCCAAGAAGCCGGTCCAAGGATGTGCTCACTCGAGGCACCAGGCCAGGCCACCAGGCCGCCCTCCACGGTCTCCCCCGCTTTCCACAGCCCACGCGTCAGGGGCCGGGCTGCGCCGTTCACCCAGGAACGCAAGCCTGGCTTTATGTTTGCCAGTCGATGGACAGAATTCATATAAACGGGGGGAAGAGAAAGCCATACAATCACTTGGTTGGCTGTGGAAAACACATTGGATAAAAGTCAACATCCGTTGTGGGAGCGGAAGACAGCGTCCCTAATCTGATAAAGAGTGTTTACAGAGCCCACACACAAACACCATTCTCGGTGGCGACTTGCAGAAATCCATCCTGCTGCCCTGGAAATGGCGTGTGGCCTCCGAGACGGTCCCGGAGGCCTTGGAGGCCACCCCACAGCGGGGAAAACGAGCAAGGGGTGTGTGGATGGGAAAGAAACAATGAAACTGACATTGGTCACACATGACTTCAACGCGCATACAAAACAAAACGATCTGTAGATACAGTATCCAGGTGAGTTTAGCAGAGCTGTTAGATGCCTTCCTGGTGTTTCCCATGTATCCACAGAAATTTTTTAAAAATGAAATTTTAAAAGGTAACATTGACAAGAGCATCAGAAAAAAAATCCCACTAGGAAAGTAGGGACAGCCCTGGCTGGTGTGGCTCAGTGGATTGAGCGCAGCTGCAAAGCAAAGGGTCGCCAGTTCGATGCCCACTCAGGGCACACGCCTGGGCTGCAGGCCAGGTCCCCAGTGGGGGGTGTGCAACAGGCAACCACACACTGATGTTTCTCTCCCTCTCTCCTTCCCTTCCCCTCTCTCTAAAAATAATTAAAATCTTAAAAGAAAAATGAAGAAGAAAGTAGAGATAAACCTAACGAAAGATGCAAAAGACCTCTACACAGGAAATTATAAAATAGTACTTACAGACGTGACGGAAAACCCGCACGCGAGGGGCCTCCGTGTCCCTGGGGCAGAAGCCCGAGTAAGACAGAGACTCCCTCTCCCCGCCCACCAGGTGCGCTCCTCCTGCGCCTGCGGGGCCTTCCCGGAGGACACGGTGCATCCCCGGCACTGTGGGGCAGCACTTCCCGTTCAGCTACAGGCGCTAACCCCGTGTCGGGACAGACAGACAGACGGCAGTCTCAGGAAACCAAACGGGGACAGACCCCGATGTGCCGTGTCACACGGCGGGTTTTTCCCGCAGTGAGCGTCGCACCGAGATGCAAGTTTGAGGGAGAGGCGGCCTCGGGAGGCCCGCCCTCACCCGGCACAGGGAGAGCCAGGCCGGGGCGCAGTCGCTCTAACGAGAAAGGGGAAATGATGCCGTTTCCAGAAGCAGCATGGCATAGTATGTTCCAGAGCTCGGAGGAGCAAAAATGTCTTTAAAATGGCATCTGAAGGGATTAATAAGACGGTATGAAAACCAGGAGCTTGTGTCCTCCGAAAGCCCCCGTTACGAGACTCCACAGACGGCGGAAGACAGAGGACAGAGGGAGGGCCCAGAGCCCGCCTCACCCCCCTCCACATCTCTCTCTGGAAAAGGAGTGATTTCCTTTTTTACAAAGCAGAGGAGCACTCGGGGTCTTCTTCATCACACGCGTCCCGTCCTTGACCTGAAGGTAGAGGCCCCGGGGACTGGGGCAGCTCACTCTCCGCCTGAGGCTTTTTCTCCCGAGCTGGACCAGACACGCACAGAGCCACCAGGGACCTGGAGAAGCTCAGTGACCGGAGCACTGGGGAAACCAGGAACCCAAAGGAATTTCCTCTTTCTGACCAAAGGCGCCTGAGAAAATCCTGCCGTGGACACCGTGCTCTCTGGGGAAGACTGGGCACTGCACCCCGAGAGCGGAAGGCGCGGGGTGTCTGCTCCCACCACGATGCAGCGCTGTGCTTGCAGCTCTGGGCAGAGCAATAAGACAAGAAAAAGAATGAAGCGTGCAAATACGAAAAGAGGAGGGGAAACTCCCAGGCGACACAATCTTATACATTTTTTTAAACACTGAAGGATTCCACTAAAAATGTATCGAAACTAATAAATTCAGCAAGTTTGCTGGGGTTGCTATAAAGAAATCAGTTGCTGGTTTCTACACACTAGCTATGGACATCCTGAAAATGAAGTTAGGAATCATCCATTTACAATAGAATAAAAATAAAACACTTAGAAATACCAACAGGAGTGCAAGACCCCCCCCCCCACTGAAAACTGCAGGGCGCTGTTAAATGGCAGCCTGAGTTCATGGTCAAAGATTAGCACCAAGACGGATGGCAATCCTTCTCTAATCAACCTACAGACCTCACGCAGCCTCTGCCAAAACCCCAGCCAGCTTCTTCGCCAAAACGGAGGAGCCGGAGCTCCAGCGCGGACCAGGGTGCGGCATTGGCCTGTGGGCTTCAAGGTGCCCGCCAGGGAAACCGAATGGAGAATCTGGAAACCGACTTTCCAGATCAGGAGTCCCAGGACCATTTAAGGAGGGAAGGCCTTTTTGACGAATGGCGAGGGGCTCTGGCACATCCATGGGCAAAAGAAGGGGGCTGGACCCCCACCTGGCGTCATACACAAAATTAACCCGGAACGGATCAAAGACTTAAACGCAAGCACTAAAACTATGCCCCGGGGGGCAGGGGGGACTCTCGGAGGCAAAAGCACCGATGTAATTAATCTTCCACCTTGAACCAAGCAACGGTTTCTCGAATATGACACCAAAGACAACGAAATACAGACAAATTGAATGTCATCAAAATTAAAGACTGTTTTCCTGTCAAGTACATGATCAAGAAAGTGAATAATTAGCCCACAAAATGGAGAACATATTTGCAAATCATATATCTGACAAGAAATCATGTTTTGCCAACTATATCTCAGTAAAGTTATTATTAAAAAAGAAAAAAAGACCAGCCTGGGTGTGTTTCAGAAGCACAGACACACATTAGGCAAGTGGGGGGGAGGGTGTTTTCAAATTGATCATGAGTTTATCACGTAACACAGCCCTTACAACGCGATACAGTTGCACAAACGTGTTTTTCTTTTATGAGGAAGTTTGTTCCACTGTCGTCCCCTCCCTTCTCCCAGCCGGGCTACTCCTTCCCCCTCGGTCCCCACAGAGGGTCCCCAGGCCGGTGCTCAGCCGACAGGGCGGGCGGGGGGCGGTCGCTGTGACCTCCGGGCGTGCAAACACCGCCCTCCACAGTCACCGTAGGTCCCACCCCACCTGGGCGACCTGCGGGCCCGGGGGCGGGGAGAGGCGGCGCAGGCGGCCGCGATCAGGGCAGGACGCCGCCAGAGAGGCCCCGGAGGCTTGGGGAGGCCTGGTGGCGGGATGTGGTCCCCGGGCGGCCCGCAGGGACCCGCGGGCTGGGACCGCCGCAGGGTGGGCGCCCGGCTGCGCGCGGCGCTGGCGGGGCTGCAGGAGCTGCAGGGGCTGCGCGCCAGGCAACAGGCGCTGGTACGCGGCGCCCTGGCCGAGCACCCCCCGCCCGCGCCCGCGCCCGCCGCCCGCCGCGCGCCCCGCGCTCAGGAGCTGAGGCTGGAGGCGGCGCTGGCGGCGTTGCAAGACCAGTTGGTAAGGAGCGCGCGAGGGGCCCTGGCGCCGGGGGCCCCGGTCCAGGTGCGGGCGGCGCGCGCAGGCCGGCGGTCCGACGGATTGGCCAAGGGGAGTCCTCTGGAGTTTGGGCTCCAAATGAGTGGGACGCGGGGGCCCGAGGGACCGGGAGCCCCTTCCGGACTCTGGAAGCAGCAGAAACCGCGCCGCGCTGAGCCGGGTGCAGACGGGGGCGCATTCCTGTGGGTTCGAGTTTCACGCCGCCTGATAAGGACGCAGGAATCGGCGTCCGCGGGGGGCCCCGAACCTTCCTGTGATCGGGTGGCCGGGAGGCTTCTTTCTGCTGTAGGTTCGGGGGCAGCAGTGCCGGCGCGCACAGCGCACCCCCAACGGCCCCCAGGAATGTGCTGAGGTTGAATGTGTCATCGTGACAAAATGCTGGGGGAAGCCCGCGGGGGTTCGGCCGCGGACCTGGAGACGCCGAGAAGCCCCAGGCCTCGGCGGGCATTACCTGGAGCCTTCTCCCCCGGACCCCGGGGCCGCTTCCTTGTCATAGACAAGTGGCGTGGGGATGGCGGCTCCTCGGGTCTTAATCCGCTGCACGGTTTCATTTTCTGTATCAGAAACAACTCAAAAGTGTCTGTGCAATATTATAGTGTGTTTTAGAGGAAAAAGTAAAAGGCTGCACGGAAAGATTTCTATAATGGAGTTAACGCCATTACTCTACATGAATTTTTAAATTAGAGACTCAGAACTGCCCTGTTTCAAAGTTGCTGCTGCTACTGAGTCTCCGGCTGCAGCTCCGCCCGCTGTTAGCTGCCGGCCATCCGCAGGGAGGCCTGGGTCCCAGACTCCTCCCCCAGGTCTTCCCGGATGGCAGACACCAGACGCTGCAGCCGTGCCAGGGTTCAGCAGCTGCTCAGGGAGGGACGCAGCCGGCCACCCCCACCCCGTGCACCCCACCCGGGTCTCGGCCACCGTCGTGTGCTGAGGGATACCTTTGCTCTCAGGCATGTGCCGCCTTACACGTGAGCTCGGTGCACATGCAAGAGCCCACATAGCGTCCCTCGGGAGAGCGGCTGGACGGGCCCCGGTGTGAGGCGGCAGGAACAAGTTGATGATTAACTCGGCTGCAGTCACACACAGATGGACTTGTGAGCACCAGCCTCTAATTACAAGTAGCCTCTGGAAGAGAAGATCAAACAAGCTCTTTTGTTTAAATATTTTTTTAATGTGGGGACCAGAAGGAACACGCAGACTTTGTCTTGAAACTGGGTTTTGGGAACAGACTCTGTGATGGAAAGGAGAGAGGGCTTGCGCCTGTGACGTCAGCTCGCCCTTTGCCCCTCCACATTTTCTTCCAGGGAGAACATGGGGCGTGTCCCGGCTCCCTGGTGCCCGTGCAGATGCTGAGGTCCCGGCCGCTGCACACGTCAGTAACTCCCGGTCAGCCCGCCCCTGCCCCCACGCCCACCTGGTCAGGGACCACGGTTCAGGTGTGAAGGCAGAAAGGCCGTTTACCTGGCCCTCGGCACCTCCCACAGTTTCCCTAGCGCAAGAGGGCGGCGGCCCGTCCGGGGTCCACAGCAGCATTCCTCACATTCTGCGTCTGAAATCCCAGCCCAGCGCCGCCCAGCGCGCAGTAGGTGCTCAGCGGGTGTGTAGTGGGTGAGGGACGTGTCTGACGCTGTGCCAGCCGGGAGGTGATTTCAATCCCCACCGTCTCCGGGGGTGGATGTCGGAGCCAAGGAAGCCCGTGACCCCTGACTGAAGCCACCCCCGCCCTCCGGGCAGCCCTGTGCTCGGGTTTGTGCCTCCGGGGAGACCAGTCACCCCGTTTCTGATGCAGACGGGCTTGGATGCCCAGGAGTCTGGAGGCTCCCTCACGCACCAGGTGGCGCCGCCCTTGGGCGGGAGGTGAGGACAGCGAGGTCTCACCGGGAGCATTTCCTGGTCCTGCGTGCTGCGGGTCCTGACTTGTCCCCAGCGTTCCGCGGGCAGTTTCGCAATCCACGCCGCAGGACCAGCGGAGGGCCCGGCTGTCGCGGTGCACAGCGCACCCTGGTTCCCCAAGACTGGCTGCAACCGCTGCCTGAACCCTCGGGGGCAGGAGCTCGCTCAAGGCCACGAGTGAGGGCCAGGCAGCCTCGGGGCTGGAGGCCTCCGCCTTCGGGGAGTCTCGGGCCTGTTGTCTCGGAGGCTGACCTGTGCCCGGCCTTGGCTGCTGATTGATGGGCCTGTTTTCAAGGGAGGGTGTGGCGTGGACCCGCCCACAGACAGCCAGGGAGCCCAGGTGTGAAACGTGTCCTTTCCTGTGCTCAGCTTTCAAGGAAAGAGAGGCGGTGTCTGAGATGCCACCTCTGGCCCCTCCGAGTTGGGGCACTTCCTGCCTTCGTCCCCGGGACCTGCCCAGGGGTCCGAGCAGGCTGGCTGTCGGGCAGGTGTGGGGGCTGGGGTGGGAGGCGGCGGTGCTCTGTGGGAATGGGGGCCACTCAGACTTTTGTGTGTGCCCAACGTGTGTCTTCAACGCCGTCCCTGGAGAGACGTTGTCAGACTCTTCGTGGTTTGTGGTCCCCCAAACTCTCTGTGGTTGCAGGGCGGCTTGTTGAAATGCTGGTTCCCAGGCGTGCCTCTGAGCCCCAGTCAGCGGGTGTGGCAGGAGCCAGGTGTGCTCTCTGTCATCGCCGGGCACCGCCCAGACGGGGAGCCTGCAGGTTGGAGGGTGGAGGGGCCCCCACCGCCCCCGTCACTCAGCACCCTCTGGGCCTGGGCCTGCGGCGGTCACTGAGACCCTGATCGCAGAAGGCACTTTGGATTCAGCAGAGTCAGATACCGAGAAGAAGCGAGGGGACAGCCAAGACATAAAACCCTGAGTGAGGCAGAAGAAGGGTTAACGAGGACAGCGCAGACCCTGAGTGGGGAGCCCTGGGTGGGCAGAGGGCCCCCAGGCTGCAGGAACCCGTCAGTGGGCAGCTGCCACGCTGCACGGTCTGGACACTAATCAGAAACCACCCCCAGAGGCCTGCCTGGCAGTGGGTCCCCACACAGACACAGAGGCTACTCTTGTTCTGGAAGTGGGGTTGGAGAGGGAGGGAGGAGGCCAGCTGGGGGGTCTGGGAGGCGGCCCCCGCAGAAGGCCTGGCAGGGCAGAGCCAGCTGCCTGGTGTCGACACCGAGGTGTGCTGAGCACAGGAGCCGACCTTTCCATCCGAGCCTCACTCTGGGTCTGGACGGGAACACCCTCAGGGCAGCTTCCATCTGCAGGAAGGCCCATGCCGGCCCTTCGGGAATCTAAGTGGTGGTGCGTGCCGGATGCCAGCTGGGAGCTCCTCCGCACCGCCGGCTGGCTCTGCCTCGGGCACCGGGAAGCTCCCCCCAGGGTGGGGCGCGCCAGGTGAGCGGCCAGGACAGCGACCCGTCTCCTGGTTCCAGGCACAGGCTCCGGTGGAGTTGGGGGCTGGTGTGACCGAGTTCCCTTTGCAGGTCACACTGGGGCTGAGGGGCCACGGCCATCAAACAGGGAGGTCACTTGGGACCCGGTATGGGGTGCTCAGGAGAGCAGCGGGCGGGCGTGAAGGTCGACCGGGCGCCGCGCCCCCTCGCCCTCTGAAAGAGCCGGCAGGGGCCCCCACCTGCCTCTCTCCCGGCCTCCGTGCCCTCGGCGGCGAGATCACCGGAGCGGTTTTCCTGGGCCCCAAGTTCCGGGGCTCCAGGATCTCCTCACTCCCTACCTGCAGTCTGAAGTACGCTCAGGCGTTTTCTTAAACAGGACGAACCACATAATTACATCCGTCCATTATTTTCCTCGAACGTAATTGTTAATCAAAACCAGAGACGGGGGCAGTGGACCTCGAAGCTGCCTCACCGGGAGGAGGAAGTCGGGGCTCAGGGACACGCGAGGCAGGTGGTCCTCACGCACACCCGCGGCGCGTGCGCCTGTGTGTGTGGGTGATGAGCAGTGACCACACACATGTGGGCCTGTGCTGCGGGATTTGTGCATGCATGTATTATATGTGTGCTGCATGACATACACATCTGTGTGCACATGTGTGGGTGCATTATAAGCTCCGACCACATGTGTGTATTGTATGTTGTATGATGTGTGTGTTGTGTGGCGTGCTTGGTGTGTTCTACCATGTGTTGCATGCATGTTGTGTAGCACACATGTGTGCCATGTGCACATTCTGGAATGTACACGCTGTATGGGTGGTGCCCACAATGGCCCACCCAGGTCGCTGCTGAAAGCTGAGACCTAGAGATGCGGAGCCTCCAGGCAGTGCTCAGCTGGGGCGCTCGGGCCGGGGGCCCTCGGGCAGCTTTCGGGGGTCAGGGTGCAGGCAGCACTGGCACTGTCCTGGCTGTGCTGCCTCTCCCACCCCAAGAGCCTGTGAAGCTGCACAGGCCCATGGGGGCCTGTTTCCCTCCGGGGGGCCTTCCTCCCCCTTGAAAACCCAGGTCAGCTGCCCCCGATGCCTGGGCCAGCGCTGCGGGTGCAGGGTGCAGGACGCAGGTGCCAGACACGAGGCCCCTTCCCCGGGCAGCACCCACCACGGGCGGGTTTCCGAGCAGGCCGGCCCTGACTCCGTGCACAGGCGGCGCCACTCTGCACCCTCACGGATGATGTCCAGGCAGGGAAGCCACCATGCGGAGAAAGCCTGCTGGGGGCGGGAAGGGGGGCTGCCTGAGGAGCCAGACCACCTCTAGGGGTGGGGCGACCACCCAGGGTACGCACGGGGCAGCGGCCCAGAGCCCCAACGCCTGTGCCCTCCGCCTCCCTAGAACCGGTTACGACGCCAGGACGTGGGCCTGAAGACCCAGCTGGACCACCTGGACCAGCAGATCAGCGAGCTGCAGCTGGGAGTGCGGAGGTCGTCCGCCGAGGGCCCGGACAGCGACAGCCGGCCCAGCTCCGGTACATGCCACACACAGGCACAAACACATGTGCATATCCCCACACTCATGTGCACACAAAGATGCAGACACGAAAGTGTGTGCGTACCCGTGTGCTCCTGTGAGTGTGTGTGTTTATATACACAAGTGTGCCTCGCATTCACATGTCCACATGTACGTGTGATGGTGCACACATGATCCCCTGTACACACAACACACGTGCCCAATCATGCTACACACACGACACACCACACACATATACACCCTCACAGTCACCCACACACCCGCCAAAGCACACCCTGCACTGACCGCCCTGTCCGCCCCATCCAGGCTTCTACGAGCTGAGCGACGGCGGCTCCTGCTCTCCGTCCGCCTCCTGCACGTCCGTGTACAGCGACTGCCTGTCCTCCTCCCTGGGCACCCTGCTGCCCGCAGCCCCCACGGCCAGGACCAGCGCAGGGGCCTGCCGGCCCTGGTCTGCTGACGAGGCCACCGTGTGTGGGGGTCCCCTGCCCGTGCGGGGCCGGCCGGCCGCTGGGGGGCGTGCAGGTCAGCCTCCGCAGGGCACCGCCCGGCCCCGGCCAGTGTCCACAGGTGCGAGAGCCAGGAGGGGTGGGGGGCGCATCCCGGCTAGTGGGATGCGGGGCACAGCAGGGGGCCTGCCTGAGCGTGGGGGCCGCTCCTCACGTCCTGTAGGCAGTTTGGGGTTTGGATGGAGGTGGAATCCAAGACCCCCCACAGAGCTGTTGTGAGAAGCATGTTTTCTTATTTAAATGAACATCAGAATGCTTTTAGAACATCCTTCCACACCCTCGCACGCCTGCCTGGAGTCCACACTCCGTGACGTGGGGACCACAAAGACAGTGGGCCTGGGAAGCCCGGTGCACGAGGGACCCCTCTCCAGCCCAGGCTGTCCCTGGAGGAAGGGCCTTGTCCTCGGACGCATTTTATTTCCAGTACGAGACCTGGTTCCTGAAACCCATTTGGTTGTTCCCCAGTGCGTGGCGCCAGCTCCCCCTTGTCCCCAGAAAGGTCTGTCCCCAGTGTCTGTCCAGAGGCAGCCGTGTGGCCGCAGGCGCCCGCCCTTCTGGGTGTCCTCCGGATCAGAACGGACGCGGCTGGAGTCCAGGGCTGATGGTCCAAGCCGGCACCATGCGGGAAGGGTTGGGGCGCCCCAGGAACGCCAGCAGCAGGCCACGCGCTTTTCTCGGGGACGGAGGAGGCCGTCCCGGGGGACACGCGGCCGCGGGGGGGCACAAGCCCTCATCTCTGTGTCTGCTCCTTGTTCTCTTCCCAGGCGACCTGGACAGAGTGCTGCCGGCTGAGGCCAGACTCCCAAAGGCTGACGCAGATGCCAGGCCCAAGTCCCTGCTCTGCCACGGGCTGGGCCTCCGACCCCATGGTCTGGACCCCAAGTACCAGTGCGACCTGGTGTCCAGGGGCGGTGGGGAGGTGTACCTGTTCCCAAGCCCCTTGCATGCAGTGGCTCTGCAGAGCCCCCTCTTTGCTCTGACCAGGGAGACCCCACAGGGTGACAGCCACTTGCCGCCCCTTAGCAAGTCCCCTCCCGGCCCCTCAGGTCCAGGCTCGGTCCGGCCTGGGCGGGTCCTGGAGGCGGGCTCAGCCCAAGCCTACATAGACAAGCTGCTGGGACTGCGGGGCCAGAGGAACCTGCTGAGGGGTGTGGTGTGTGAGCAGGGTCCCCCGGGGTGCGAGGTGCCCCTGTCCCAGAGAGCAGAGTGTGCAGGTGGCCCAGAGAGGCTGACCCGCTCCCCAAGAAGGGCAGATGCCGGTCAGGGGGCTCAGAAGAGGGAAATGGGCAGGAACAGCCTCGAGCAGCGGGGACCTGCACCCCTTGTGGGCCCCCCACACCCCAGCAGCCTTTCCGAGGACAGACACAAGCCCTCTAGCAGCTGCATCTGTGTGGGGACCATTCTGGGCTCCCCTCAGCTAGGGGGTGGGTGCCCCTCCAGCTGTTCCCGGGCTCAGTGGGTCACTCCTGAGGGCTGGAGGGGCAAGGCCACGTCACCCACCAAGGCCCCCAGGCCCTGTGTCCACTCGCACTCTGTGGCCAGCAGAGCTGCCCTGATGGGGCTGAAAATGGGCCAGAAAACGGGCCAGCCCGTGACAAAGGCTGTGAGGATGGGGAGGGGGACCTGCAACAGGGCACTGGGGTCAGGCCGGCAGCTGCCACCCTGGGGCGCCCTCCTGGCCCCCCAGCGTCCCCCCGCATGGGGTGCTTGGCTCAGGGGGAGGCCCACCCAGGCCATGGAGGCCCCTGGCCGATCCTGCTCTGAGACCAGCCTCTACCCTGTGTCCTTCCTCGTCCCCCTGCTGGTGGCCGGCCGGGGGGGCCACAGGGCATCGGCCCACGCCTTGTTCCCCATGGAAGCGGCCCCTCCGGTGGCAGCTGGCGGCGAGGCCCGGAGGCGGCAGCGCAGGTGGCTGTCCTCTGTAGAGATCGCAGCTGGGGCCCGCCTGGCTGGTGCAGGGCCCCCGAGGCCAGCCACAAGGAGAGGGGCGGGACCGCCGCCTGCGTGCTCCCCGGCCAGGCCCAGGCCGCTGAGCCGGGATGCGCAGGCCGGGAGCCTGTCTGGTGCCTCCGAGCACTCGGCCGAGTGCTCCTCCCTGTTCCACTCCACCATCGCCGAGACCAGTGGAGACGAGGCCAGCGACCACACCGCCAACTGCTTCGCGGACCGGGAGTCCAGTGGCAGCGACGCGGAGGACAGCGTGCAGAGCCCCAGGGGCCGCCCCCCGCAGCCCCCACGGGCGCCCACCTGCGCCCGGCCACCCCTGCCCCCCGCGCCCAGACTGTGCCGCGTCAAGGCCTCCAAGGCCCTGAAAAAGAAGATCCGCAGGTTCCAGCCGGCCGCTCTGAAGGTCATGACCCTGGTGTAGCCCAGGGGCTCTGGCTGGAGCCCCCCGAGCCAGGCCCAGTGACCAGTGCTCCAGGAGAGGCCACGCTCCTGAGGAACCGGGCGGAGCACGTGTGGCAGGCACGCAGGGGACCCCAGGGCTGAGGACGACGAAGTCCAGCTTATTCGCCTGTTTAACACGCAAACACTTCTCCTGCGCGGTCGCCAGTTCCTTCTCCAAAGTCGCGGCTGGGAGCGCGGCCGTGGTCTCAGGAGAGGAGGGGAAGGGGCCCGCAGCCCCCGAGCCTCGGGACGCCTTTCCCCGCCCACGCGGACATGCACAAAGAACCCACGACGCGGGGTCTCACCAGCCACCCTGCCTGCCTTGTGGAGACTGCTCCCAGACCCTCCCGGGTCTGCTGCCACCTGGGGACGGTCACCTCTGTCCGGCTCTGCCTGTGCCCAGTCCCTGCACGGCTGCCGCACGGCAGGTGGGAACAGGGTGGTGGAAGCCCACGGTGAACCCCCCGCAGGAATCAGCACGCAGCTGACGTCATTTCCTTCGCAAGTCACAGCAACGCACTTTCCTTCCCTGTCCCTCCGCGCGTCGTGTTGTCCAGCAAACCCTCATTCCCTCCATCCTGTGGCCACTCTTACCCAAGCGGGGGAACATTCATGCGAGTGCAGCCCAAGCTTGGGTTCCGAGACCCTACGTGGAGCATAAAAGTGTTTTTGAAAAAAATAACTTTTTTTGGTGTTTATTTGTCAAATGTCCCTGGACTTTTCCCGGGGGAAGACAGGATTACAGGGAGGCACCTGCCGGGCCACTTTCTCCCGGTGACCCGAAGCTTCTCCTCGGTGGGACAGGAGGCCCGGGAAGAGGGGGGCGTTACTCCTGGGCCCTCGGGGGGTCTGGAGCCCTCATTCCTGCCCCCGGGAACTTTTGGAGGAAGACTAAAAACAGCCAGAAGACCAGATTCGCTGGCGTTTAGAGACGTGCTAGGCATTAGTTAGGTGTTCATGCGGCAGCCGGTTCCAGAGCCAGTGTCAGGAGGTGAGCATCTGAAAAAGCGGTGGACATTTAGAACTGGGACATGGTCTGTGTAGACGGAGGTTTCTGAAGATGGGGGGGGGGACGGCGCTCTCTGTAAAATCAGAGACACAGCCATGTCAGAGGGTCTCAGATGGGCTGCGGCACCCACACAGCCCACCACCCGCCCGGTCTGTCTGCGGAACTAAACCGCCCCCCCCCCCCCGTGGAGGAGCGTGGAATCGGCTCCGGCAGAGGGGAGGGGGCCTCCTGAGCCTTTAAACCTGCTCACTACCTAAAGAACGTTAGCCCACCACGGCGGGGTGTCTCCATACAGACACTGCTCACACGGGCCGTTTTGTAAGGTGGTCCAACTCGCCACCACGTCGTGTGGGAGGTGCCCTGGGCAGGCGGGGCTCCCCGGACGGGAGTCAGAGTCGGTCCCACCCCCACCTGGATCCCTGCGGCAGCCTCTCCAGAGAAACAGCCCAGGAATTCCAGGTCAGTTTATGTAGTCGGCATCCTGCCCTCACTGACGTCCGATTTCGTAAGTGCTTTCCCAACTGAGGGACTTGGAATGCGGATGGGTGCGTGCTGGCTCCCCTCCCATCCTCCGTGAAAGCCGCCCTGTCCCTGGGTTTCACGGACAGCAAACCCAGGCCCGTGCCCCTGGCCTGGGTCTTGCAGAGTCGGCCTCGAGGGGATGCGGCGGGCTGGGCCTCTCGGGGTTTCTGACGGAGTTTATCCTTCTCAAAAGCCCAGCTGGCTTCCCACCGAGATGGCAGGCTCCACGAGGCCAGCAGACAGGAATGCGGCCCAGCCCAGGGACCCCGGGCCTGTCTGTGCAACCAGCAAACCACGGCGCAGACCGCCCGAGAAAGCCAACCACAGCAACTGCGCACAGAACGGTCCCCCAGATCCGCCACCCGATCGGTCAAGGCTCTCCCTCCCTCTCCTTCCTTCTCCCCCCTCCCCCTCCCTCCCTCTCTCTTCTTCCCTCCCTGTCCGTCTCCCACCCCCAACCCCCATCTCTCTCGACGCCTGAGGCCCAAATGAGCACTTCGACTGGCCCAGGTCCCCGGACCTCTTCCTCTCTGGTGCTCTTGCCCCTCACGTCTACTCTCTGGCAGGTTCCAGGGGGATAAGTGGGACCCTAACTCCAACTTCCCATCTGCCTGGGGCCTGGTGCCTTTGCCTCCCCACTAACTCGCCAGGGGACACAACCCTGGGGCCCGTCCTGTGGGGCTCCTGGCAACATGCGGCCCGGCCGGCATCTCCATGACCTCCCTGAGTTCACGTCCTGTCTCACAAAACCTCGGCTTCAGCATGACGGGGAAATTGGCCAAGTGGAACACGGGCCCCAGTCTGCCTGCTCGCCCAGCCTGGTGCCTGTCCCCGGGGAGCATGAGGAAGGGAGTGGCCAGGCCCAGACCCTCCAGCTGAAGAGCCAAGTGACCGGGACAGTGCAGCGGTCCTGGTCACAGCCGTCCCCCCGGAGGGGCTACAGACACTGCCTAGCTCCGAGGCTGGTGCAGCGGCAGGCCCGGCTCAGCCTCCTGCAGTGTGCGTGGTCAGCTCGAGTCTCTGACCCCCTTCTCCTGGCATCAGCCTGCCCCCCGCCCCAGGAAGGGCTGGGGTCTGGCCCGGGCAGGCGCCCAGGACACGGCTCTTTGGGGAAATACTTCCAAATGCAACATCGGCGATGACAAGCCAGTTGGAGTCAGTCTGCAAAGCTAGTGCCAGACTTCAAACACAGCACCCAGTGCTGCAGGCTCAGACAGGGTCATTCCGGAAGGCACTTCCCAGCACACCCTGCGGCGTTCAGGCCGGAGCCCGGCCTCCACCACCCGTCCTGGGCCCGGGTCAGCCCAACAGGAGCTTCCTGCAGCGACAGGTTCCGGTCAGAGCTGGAAAGGAGCCGTGGCAAAGCAGCAGGGCACCACTCAGGGTGCGGGTGCAGACCGGCTTCCCTGTGGCAGGCACTGCACACATCTGCGGGGGGACCGTTGTGGACACAGACTGCAGAGGCGTTTGTGTGGGGACGGCCGGTCTACCGGTTTGCTCGGGTGATGCACCGAAACGTGACCCTTTGACTGACGGGTCCCACGTCACCCAGGGGGTCACCGAGGGGGCCTCAGAAGGACAGCGTTCCAGGAGAGCAGAACGTCACTGTTTCTTTGCTGTCAAACCCTTGGTGACTCGCCCAGGGCCAAGCTGCTCCAACCAGAGGAAGTTTCAGGGCTCGGAGTCGGAAGGGCCGGAGCGTGTGGAGTGGAGGGTGGGGGCTCATCGGCGCTCCTGCCTCACCGGGGTCGGAGGTCACCAGGAAACCAGGCGGGAGATGCAGCACAGTCTGACTTCCCTGATCGTGTCCCCGAGAGGTCACGCTGAGGCCGAGGGAATTCGGATCAGGCCCCAGGACGTGCGAGAACAGCGGAAACCTGTTCAGCGTGAAGACTGTACTTTCCATCTGACTGAGGGAAAAGCCCGTGTACCGAAGGATTCCCGGGGGCTGGCGGGAGAGGGCCCCAGCTGCTGAGACAGGCACGGGTGGGCCCTGCGGTCCACGGCACATCCGGCCCGGCTGGGTTTCTGTGGCTAACCGTCACTGTGTGCTTAGCACTTGTCATCAAGTGCTTTCACAGAAACCTTCCTCTGACCCCTCAGTGGGGCCGGTCAGCCTGGCACTGGCACCTGCTGCGAGCTAAGGGAGGCCCTCCTGGCAGGTGTGCGGTGAAGTCTGAAGATAAGGGAAGGCCTTCGGAGGTCCCAGGTCATGGCTCAGACAGGGAAGCCCCTCCAGAGTGATGGCCTCCTTCATACCTGTGCCCCCTCCCCCCGGCAGTGGGTGGATGGCTGCCCCCAGGGCCACAGCGGGGGAGCATCGCCAGACTGCTCTACGGAGCCCAGGGTCAGCGAGGCCCCGCCCTGCCTGCCGCCGCCCTCCCCCCCGGGCCCCAGCACCCGGTGTTGGGTCCTGCCGGGTAGTGGGGACAAAACGCACCACCCGGCAAACCGGAGCCGGACGCTGCGTCTCCTGCTTCCTGTCGGCTGCCTGACACCTCCCATTTGGAGACACATTTTAGATTTCGAGCGATTCAAACATCCCACAAATGCAAAGCACCCCCATGCTCAGCAGCAGGGTCTCACACAGGTCGCCACGCGGCCGAGCGGCCGAGCATCTCAGGCCGTGCACAGGAACAAGCCGGCCAGGACTCCAGCGAAAGCCCCACGCTCCACCCGCAGCCCCGGTCCTGAGGTCCGGACAGGTCCTCCCCTAGGTCTGCGTGCCATGGTCCCAGTGGACGGGCCCAGAGCACCCTGAGGCTCCATTTCCAGTCTGCAACTCCTGTCAGTGGCATCATTTTTGCAGGTTGCTCCTTCACCCAATGTGACGCCGAGGTGTGTGACAGTCACTGGCAGCAACTGGGCACAGGCCCGGGGCCACACATGTTCTGGGGTCTGGCGGTCCCTGCGGCCCGGCCCAAGAAGCTGCCCACCCAGCCGATGACCGGTGTTCAGGCCGCAAGCCCCAGCCCTCCCGTGCGCACGAGCGAGGGTCTGCCCATGCAGGCCACGCCACGTCCCTCCCAAGGGGCTGTGTGAGTTCCCTGCGGCTGCTGAGACACATCTCACAGATTTCGTGGCCAAACCAGACACAACGCGTCACTGAGCAGATCTGCAGGGCAGAGTCCGAAGCCGGCTCCCCGTGAGGGCCCGCTGTCTCGCAGAGGCCTGTTCCTGCCCCCTCCTCAGCTCCAGCCCCTCCCGCCCGACAGGGCAGGCCGAGTGCTTCCCTCGGGGTGTGTCCGGTCTCTCTCCCCTCCCGTTGCACTCACAGACACCCCCATGCTGACAGTGGGCCCCCCGACAACCCGGGACAACCCCTCCTCTCGGGTCAGCCTCCCACAGCTGTAACCCCTGTGCATGGGGGCCCAGGTCCACAGTTCCTGGGGTCAGGGCGTGGGCGGCTGCCGTCTGCAACCCCGAGGGGAGGTCAGGCTCCTCTCCCCTGTCCTCTCCCCAGACTGGGTGTCACCAGACTGCGTGCCTGCCCATCAGATGGCTGCACAGCCTGTTGGATGCTGACTTCAATGCGTTTCTCTGGTTACCGCTGGGCCGCTGCCCGGCCAGCTGGCCCTCTCTTCTGAGTGGCCTGCCCTGTGCGTGGGTGGGCGGGGCCGCACGGAGGAGAGAAAGGAACTTCACCTGATGTCCTGCTGGGGGGGGAAGGTTCGGGGCTGAACCGGAGACCAAGGCCCCCGAGAGAGAAGAGGCTTCTCCTGGACCAGCACCGACCACAGACTCCCGCCGGTTGCGGTGCGTTTCTCTAGGGTCAGGGCTCCGGCTCCGCGTCAGCGGCAACCAGAGAGCCACTGGTTGGGAAGTGGGTTCATGAGCGGTTTTTCTTGTTCCATTTTTTTAATTTTTAAAAGATTTTTTTTTAATTTTTAGAGAGGGGAAGGGAAAGAGAAGGAGAGGGAGGGAAACATCACTGTGTGGTTGCCTCTCACAGTGATGTTCCCACTACTGGGGAACCAGCCCACAACCCAGGCATGTGGCCCGACTGGGAATAGAACCTGTGACCCTTTGGTTTGCAGGCCGGCACTCAGTCCACTGAGCCACACCAGCCAGGGCTCTTGTTCCATTTTAAAGAAAAGTTCTTCCAATATCTCACAATTTC